TCCAGCCTCATTCCAAATAAGATGTTTTTTATCTATATGTTACATTATTATATGGGGTATAGAAGGAGAAACAAGCTGTTTACTGAAAAGCCATAATATTCAGAACAGAATTGAAAATAATCACCTGCATTATGTTCTGGTCTCCTAGATCAATTGATTTTAGTTAGAGATCAATGAGATAGGAAGCTGGTAGATAAGTCCAGCCTCCACCAGTCCTTAACTGTACTATAATTTTATCGAAAGTGAATGACCTTCGTATGTCTAGTTCTCCACCTGGGTTATGTGGAACTTAGTCTAGATGGTACTATAGGGGCCCAGAGGGCACACACATTCTTTGATTTTATGAACTGTCAATTATTAATGATCTTTAAAATTAGAGAAAACACAGTGACTACCAACTCATGCAATTTTGTGAACAGAGAGCTGTTCAAGAATATCATAGAGTGCTCTGAAATTTGTATTTGTGTTTAAATCATAGTAATACAAAGGTTTTCTGTGCGATGTAGAGTATGACAGAAACTCAGATAAATTTTAGACTAATTTTATAGTGGATCTTGTATGTCTTACGTTTGACTCTATAGGATAAATTACATTCCCAAGTTCTTTTAAAGTCTTGAATATTTTTACAACTTCCAAACATTATTATCCTTTATTTGTTTATTTGTTTGCTTGTTGTTTTCAGGGTCTTTCTGCAGTTCAGGTTTCCATGTCTCTCCTCCTCCCGGGGCTGGAGAGATAGCACAGCGGGTAGGGCATTTACCTTGCACACTGCCGACCTAGGTTTGATTCCTCTGCCCCTCTCATAGAGCCCGGCAAGCTACCGAGAGTATTTTGCCTGCACAGCAAAGCCTGGCAAGCTACCCATGACATAATTGATATGTAAAAATAGTAACAGCAAGTCTCACACTTTGTTGTGAGACATTACTGGTGCCCGCTTGAGCAAATCGATGAACAATGGGAGGGCAGTGCTCCAGTGCTCCAGTGCTCCTCCTCCTGGTGGGCACTTCTGATCTCCTTCCCTCTTTCTTTTTATTTTTCCCCACTGCATGGGCGCTGGGGGCCAGAAATTATAGGAGCTCTAGAGAGAGGAGAGCCCCAACTACATGGATATTGGGTGCCAAGGGGAAATGGAGGCACAGGGATGGGGGTGGGGATTAGGGGAAGGTGATGAAATGGATTTCGAGGTGGTGGTGGCAGCAGTGTGCTCTGGTGAGCAGCTGAAAAGTGACTCCAGGAAGCTGCTGCTGATGAGGAATGATGGGGTATGTTTTACATACCAATGCCTTCCCCTCTGATATTCTTTTTTTTTTTTTTTGCCTTGACTGATATCCTTCATTTATCAGATTTAGGAAGTTCATTGTTCTTTGAACAGATCAGCTTTATTCTTAGTTGCTATTTAGGGCATCCACTTTGCTTAGTTAGCAGATGTTGACAAATGATATTACCTATGATCTCATTATATTCAAAACTGAGGATGGTAACTACCACGTACCCATATGTTGCAGAAAGATGATGGACAACACCTGAGAGAACTGCTGGATCGAACAACTTCTAGAATAAGCTGGATGGAACTCAACCTGAACTCTTATCTTCTCCCACACCCATACTAAGAAAAGTTGATGGGTGAATGGATTATCGGATGATATAGCATTCCTTTTGTGTCCTGCAGATGAATGGATCGAGAAGTTGTGGTCTGGATGCATTAAGCAATACGATGCAACACTAAGAAAGAACAAAGTCATACTATTTGGAGGAATGTGGATGGAACTAGAGGATATCATGCTAAGTGAAGTCAGTCAGAAGAAAAAGGAGAGATGCAGAAAGAGCTTTCTCATAAGTGACTGACATCCAAAGCCAACATAATGGGAGAAATCACTCACACAATTGAATTGTGACAGGGAGAAAGGGGGGTATTTGGGATCATTGTGGGGAGGGAGATGGGTATATTGGTAGTGGATGTGGTGTTGGAATTATGGCCATGAAAATCCATAATCAATAGCATTATAAACCAAATAAAGTAAATAAGAAGGGAAGCCAAGACATTAAAAATAAATTATTTATGCAACAATAGATTATTTGAAAATGGTTGCATCTATAGTCAACAGTACTAGGTAGCATTATAATACCCTTTGCCAAGATAGCTAGCTGATCTTTGCCAAATGAAGGGTTTTATCAGGCTCTAAATGATTTCACATAACCAACGCTATATTCAAATTCTTGTGGCTTCCTTACCTATATGCGCTGGGATTTAAAAAAATGCAAAGATAAGTGGTTCATTATTTCCTGGAAAAGTTTCAAAGTCTGCTCCTGAGACCTCCTTTCGCTCCAGAGGTCACTGAAGGACAGTTGTATTTTCACCAAAGCACTAAGCATTTTTGTGGTCAATGGGCCAAGTAGACACTGTTTGTAGGAGAGAGTCATAAAAATCTTGACAGGACCCAGAATAGGAAGGTTTCATTTCAAGTGTAAACTGGAGTTCAGCGGTTGATAATAATGACTGCAATGAAGGAGTGATGATGGAGATTTAACTTTGATTATGCTGGACATTTCAACACTGCCAAATAAAATATTCTAAATAACGCACATGCTGGGAATACTATGCACTGCTCCACGATCCTAAGGACAGAAAAAGAGCTTACAGAGTGTATTTGAAGATATTGCAAAGAACAAAATGTCTTATTTGCATCCCTATCATGCCTAACACATTACATAAATGAGCTATATTTGCAAGGTCATTCCAACTCCCCATTTTCTAAGTTTATCTTTCTTTTGGATCCTGGATGTATTTTTGTGTCCTCTAAGAAACTTTTCCTGATCCCAGTCATAAGATATTTAATCTGATCTTTTGCTATGTTGATTGCGTATACCATTCATATGACTTTGTCTGTGGCTGCTTGGCTTGTTTTAGTACTTACATGTAACTTCTTGCAATTGACATTATATTAATTTGCTTCACGTACGAATATAGATACTTAGGCGGAGGGATATTGCTCAAAGCCCACCTTTATTCAGTTGATTTATTTATGCATACATAAATAAGTAGAAAGGGCTGGAGCGATAGCACAGCTGGTAGGGCGTTCGCCTTACAAGCGGCCAACATGGCCGACCCGAGTTCGATTCCTCCGCCCCTCTCGGAGAGCCCGGCAAGCTACCAAGAGTATTCGATATGCCAGACACAGTAACAACAGAGTCTCCAATGGAGACGTTACTGGGCCCGCTCGAGCAAATCGATGATCAACGGGAGGGCCTTTACCTTTACCTTACCTTTACATAAATAAGATTAAAACAAAAAGGAAAATTAAATTTTTATTTCAAGGACATTATACTTATAAAGTGAAAAAAAGGCTGATTTTTGTGTTATATGATATAAAAATCAATAATAGTTATCACATAATTATTTCCCAAAAATCACCTCATAAAATTATCTAATTTTGTTATCTTCCAAAGAGTCCTTGCCCTGTTATTTCAGTTTAATTCAATCAATACACTTGTTTTTTTTCTATCTTGAATTTGACTTTTTTCCCTAAAAACATCTATTTTATCAAGAGTTTTGGTCACTTGCCAGAGTTTTTTCATTAATGATATTATCACATCCATATTTTTGTATTTTCAAATTTGTTACTGTTCTGTTTTATCTTATCCATTCTTCCAACAGTATTTGATACTTGTTTTTCATTACTACTTTAATGATTATATTGCACAATTCAGTTTTAAATTCTTTAATGTTATAATTAATTTATGTTAGTTAATTTTTACAGAAGATAATGGTTTGGCCAGCTGTGTTTTAATGAACGTCAATTTAGCCAAATTCTGAAATTCTCACATTAACCTTGGAATTACTTTAAGTTTCATCTATGATTGTATATAGGTCCATAAAAATCTATAGCTCATTTTATTTTGACCCCCAAATTGTTTTGTAAACATTTTAAATTCTCTTAAGTATTTTGTTATTGTATTTTAATTAGAATTATTTTTCAATCTAAATGCATTATGGTGCAGAATTTGGGCTGTTGCTTTTTTTTGAGTTTTATAATGTATAAGGTTTTCATGTAGTATAATATGTAACAGCTCATTGACCTGTTCTGCATATTCAAGGAAAGAATGATGCAATGACATTAGCTAAGCAATTGGAAGCAAAGGTAAACATATGGGGTTATATCAAACTAAGCTTCTTCACTGAAAAGCAAATGATGACCAGCAGAAAAAGGCACCACATAACCCGGGAGAAAATCTTTGCCCACCACTCATCTGAGAAAGGGTTGAGATTCAAGATTCCAAGATACATAAAGCATAGGCAGAAGTTTCCAACGATGCAAAAACTTAGCTCCATTAAAGAATGAGGGAAAGAGATACTTTTTCAAAGATGACATAGAGATGACCAAAAGATATACAAAAGCAAATGCTCTCCAACATTTACTATCCGAGAAATGCAAAGCAGAATAATAACGAGATATTGTCTCTCTCATACGGTGAAACTGGACCAGATCACAAAGAACAAAATCAATCATCGTTGGCTTGAATTTAGTAAAAATGTCATTACCCACCCATTCACTGCAGGTGGGAATGTCAGCTGCTCCAGCTTTTTGTGTAAACAATATGGACACGTCTCAAAAACACTAGGAATTGAGCTTCTGTGTAACCCAGCCATTCCACTTCTTGGCATTCATCTCGGGTGCCCCAAATCCCTATTCAGAAAAGACATTTGTACTCCTACGTTCATTGCAGCACTCTTCACAGTAGCGAAAATCTGGAAACAACCCAGGTGTCCAAGAAAGGATGACTGCATAAAGAAACTTGGTACATATATACAATAGAAACATTACTGGGCTATAAGAAAGGATGAAACCATGCAATTTTCTGTTTCGTAATGAATTTGCAATGAATCTGAAGAGCGTACTTCTGAGTGAACTCAGAGTAGGAAATGCCCAGAGGCAGCATAGTCAGAAGGAGGGGGCAGGCACAGAATGATCTCTTTCATACGTGGCATATAAAGTAAGGGAATAACAAATGGCAATGATGTTTGATGTATCAAACCCAGCGGTAACATTTTTGTAAATCATAGCGCCTAAAGTTATTTTTTGTCAAGGGGAGTGCTAACCTTCTCTCCTTTCATACAACACAATGGAGACGTTACTGGGCCCGCTCGAGCAAATCGAAGATCAACGGGAGGGCCTTTACCTTACTTTACTTTTACTTTTAAAGTTATTTTTTATAAAAGAAATTAATAAAATGGAAAATAAATACATTTGTGGTTGTTTGTATTTAATATATTGTGTTTAGGGGGTTAATTTATTTTCTTTATTCATAGGCCATGTGTAAGTGGAAACCATCAGGTTTTCTTTTCTTTCTTTTGTTTTTTTTTACTTAGCATAATATCTTTCAGATAAACACTTAGGAGTACTATTGCTGGGTCATGTAGCATTCTCTGCATTTGTAAAGGAATCTCCAGACCATTTTCCATAGATTTTTTTTCATGGAGCAATAGCACAGCGGTAGGGCGTTTGCCTTGCATGCAGCCAACATGGCCGACCCAAGTTCGATTCCTCTGCCCCTCTCGGAGAGCCCGGCAAGCTACCGAGAGTATCTCGCCCGCACGGCAGAGCCTGGAAAGCTCCCCGTGATGGATTCGATATGCCAAACACAGTAACAACAAAGTCTCCAATGGAGATGTTACTGGGCCCGCTCGAGCAAATCGATGATCAACGGGAGGGCCTTTACTTTACTTTACTTATTTTTTTATTGAGTCACTGTGAGATACACAATTACAGAACTTTTCATAATCAGGTTGCAGTCATACAATGATCTAACATCCATCCCTTCACCAGTGTCCATTTCCCCCCAACAATGACCGCAGTTTAACTCCTGCCGTCCCTCCTGTCTCTCTTGGTCTCTCTCTTTCTCTCTCTGTCTCTCTGTCTCTCTCTCTCTCTTTCTCTCTCTCTCTCTCTCTCTCTCTCTCTCTCTCTCTCTCTCTCTCTCTCTCTCTCCCTCCCCCCCCTTCTGGGCATTATGGTCTGCAACACAGATACTGAGAGTCATCATGTTGGCTCCTTTAACTACCAGCATGCAGTTCCTATCAAGAGTGAACATTTCCAACCATCATTGTCATAACCACCATTATGACAATTGCCTTCTCCTCCAGCACTTGAGACAGGCTTCCAACCACAGACTAATCTTCCTTGCCCTCGTTCTTACTGCCCTTGCGTATTAGTCCCATATTATGAAATTCTACCAATAAATGTTCTCACCAGCAGTGTACCGGAAGACTCTGTTGTTTTCCACGTTGCTTCCAAACTTTTTGCTATAGGCCACGCTCACTGGTGTGAGATGATATCTCATTGCAGTTTTGATTTGTAAATACCTGATAAGAAAAAATAAAAACACAATTTTTGTGTGTCTGAGGGCACCTAAATGTTATGCAATGTTTTTATCCTTTTAGAGGCCTCATCCCATGGTGCTTAGGGCTTATCAGGGCCACAACTGGCAGTGTTGGGGACAGTCATGTAGTGCTGGGGGCTAAATGCAGAGACTCATGGATGCGAGCATGAGCTCCACTCCTTTAGCCATATCCTAACCCCAATTTGCTTGCATTCTTTCGAGAAGTCTCTGTTCAATTCTTCGGTCCATTTTGGAATTCAGTTCCTTGGGTTTTAGTCCTTAAGTTGTATGACTTCTTTATATATTTTGAATCTCAATATCTTATCAGATGTATGAAAATACTTTCTCCTGATTACTAGGTTGCTTTTCATTCTGTAGTTATTATTTTTTATTATTTTTTCTTTGTTTGTTTTTTGGGTCATACCCAGTGATGCACATGGGGTTACTCCTGGTTCTGCACTCATACTCCTAGTGGTGCTCAGGGGACCACATGGGATGCTGGGAATCGAACCTGGCAAATGCCCTAGCAGCTGTGCTATCACGTTAGCCCCTGTAGTTATTACTTTTGCTGTAGTAATTTCAAAACTTTTAAATATATATAGCTCAATTACATTATTTTTACTGTTGTTTCCCTCCCAGCAAGGTTGTTTGTGCAGTCATAGATATTATAATCTTTCAAGAATTACATCAGCATCTTCTAGAGTCTTCTGTTGCAACAAAGGTCTGGGCAAAGTTTCTGTTAAGGTTGTAGCTGCTATAATGTCTTAATATGTCAGGTGGGTCCAAGACTTGGTGTTTGTGGGCAGAAATTCTACATTGACATTGGTATTAATATCACCAAACAACAACAACAACAACAAAAATTACAATAATGAGCAAAACCTTAAAAAGACATACTGGTATCCAAAAAGTACTTCTCTAGCTTGCTGGTACAGCAAGTTAGAAAAGCATCTTGGAAGGGGAGCTGCGTCATACATGATTTCTGCAGGACACTGAAGCTGTGCGAATATTGACATATTTGAAAGCCTTGGGATTCTCACTGTGCCAGATCACAATGGATTCGAATGTGTCACCTGCAACATTGCCCCCACAAAAACTATTCCTGTTTCCTTGAACATCTTGAAACCCTGCATCAACCGGACCTCTTAATAGATGAATTTCTTTCAGGCATCCATTTCTAGAAGAGAAGTTTTTGAGTTCTTGGTTTGATTTTTATTTCCTTTGAGTTTTGCTTGGGTGTCACCTCTGGAGGTACTCAGAGTGGTGTCAGGGAACAACCAGAGTTGACTATTGGTTTTTAATTTAAAAAATGAATTTAGGAGCTTGAACGATAGTACAGCAGGTAGCGCATTTACCTTGCACACAGCCAACCCGGCATCGATTCCCAGCATCCCAGATGATCTTCCAAGCACCGCCAGGAGTAATTTCTGAGTACATGAACCAGGAGTACCCCCTGTGCATAGCTGGATGTGACCCAAAAAGAAAAAAATGAATTTAATTTGTATGGCCACACCTAGTGATAATCAAGAGCCACTCCCAGTGCAGTTCTGGAAAGGGGACATGTCATTCAGGAGATTGAAGACTGGATTCTCACATGCGAAGCATTCATTATAGCCCTTTGAGCCCATGGTGCTAGCTTAGAGGCTGTTCCCAGCTCTGTGCTCAGGAGTGACACCTGACTGTGCTCAGGAAATTCTCTGTGGTTCTGGGGGATGGAAGTGGAGTCAGTTGCAATCTTCTTAAGCTCTGTCCTATCTCCCAGCCCCTGTAGAATTTATTTGATACATTATTTTCCTCCACAATATACAACATATCTATAATTTACAATTTTTTCTTACTTGTACTTATATCAGCACTCACAGATTCATCACAAGCTTTCACATTATGTAGCTCATACCAACTGATTCATTTAAATCACCCAAAGATAGCAGTAAATGCAACACCATAGTTGGCTCCAGCCTTTTATTTCAGCATTACACGCACACTCTTTGCTTCGGTTTTGATCATAATGGTCCTAAGAGAGCTATACTTCTGTGTCTGATCTTTAATAGTCCAGGTCATTATTACTTTCTTCTTATTTGATATCAAGACCTCTGGAGTTTTTGTTAGTCTCTTTGTTCTCAATGAAATAGAACATTTAAGAGTTTCCATCACTTTGTTCTTTTCCTTCAGGATCTTAGTGACAGTAGAGTGGGGCAGCGGGACATGCCTGACTAGTGAGCAGTAATCACTACTGATTCTCCACTTCCATAGTCCTTGATTACTTTTCTCTTTTTTTTTTGCCAAGTCAATCACTCTATGTTGCTTCTCACTGACAATATTAGCAGTGGATTTGTACACTTTAGGACCAAGATAAATAAAACAATATAACATTATTTCGAGTAAATGGGGAAATGACGCTATCAAGAGACACTATAAACAAAAATTGTATGATTCTGGTGCCAGCACACAATGCTGCAATTTTTAGTGGAGTTAGAATCACATTAGGCTGTAGGAACTTGGGGACCACTATTGTATATGCGATCTTTCATTAATCAAAACATCATTATTTGGAACATGTCTATCAACAAACACTACTGCAATAAAATTTTATTTTACAAGATCGCTGAAATTTGGAAATTACCTGTAAAAATTGGTATGTGACCCAACCTTTTAATCTGATCACTGGTCTTAATCACTTTCTTAAACTAAAAAACATTACTGAAATATTCTTCTTTAAGCATCATTTTCATTTTTAATTCTTTAAGCACTTTGTCTAAAAAATAATTGGCTAAACTTGTAAACCTACAGTTTCTTAATGATGCCTATTTTCACTAATGTCTGCTTTCATAGTAATGATGTCCAGAGTTCATCTCTTCCTTCTCTCATCTTTCTGAACTTTGGCAGAGAGTAACCACCAGCACAAACTACGAAGTTCCTGTTTTTCAACCCATTCTAAAACTGCTGGCAAATTATGCATCTGATTGTTCTTCCAAGTTACTATTCTTCCAAGTTCTAGTAGTATGCTACAACTTACTAAAAGATTTATCCTTCATATTGTCAATTACCATCTTTCTAACATTTTTATCTGTTATCCTGCTACCTGAGATACAATTATTCAGATAAAAGCCCATATTTTTGTTCATTGGTACAGGAGCACTTCAAGACATCAGTTTCCATAAAAAATTCCTCTTCTTGGAATATGCCCCAAGAACCCAAAATAAAATGGACAAAAGACATTTGCACTCCTATGTTCCTTGCACAACTATCCACAATAGTCCAAATCTGGAAACAATCCAAGTATCCAAAAAGAGGTGACTGGATAAAGGAACTATGGTATATATACACAATGGAATACTACTTAGCCATAAGAAATTATGAAGTCTTGCTATCAACATGCGTTTTTAACCAACTCATCATTTCTTGTCAAGTTCTATTTATCCAACATGTCACTTTTATATTCAGATTAATAGTTCTGTTATAGAAGCATTTTATATTATTTATTTTTTCATTTAAGAGACTTTTTAGCAGAGCTTTAGCTTTATGACTGTACAAATTATGTAGATATAAAGTCTATATTTGAACTGCTGTTACTACTCACAGCAGCCCTTCTATTCTATAAACAACTCATCTTGAATTTTTCACATTTTCCTGAGGAAACTAGAAAAAAATCTTTGAGTTCTGGCAGTTAGAAAGTAAAAAATGTCATTGTGGGATTATGTAGGCAGGATTCTTTCTGCACTGTACTAGAAAAGGTTTTGTT